CCAGGCCTGAGCCCCACGCACTGCCGTGTGAGGCGGGGGCCCAACACCAACGCACAGAGGAGCCGGACTCTGGGTCCAAGAAGCTCGGAGGCGCCCCGTGGCCTGGCAGGCGGCGGCAGCAGAAGGCTTCCGGAGAGGCGCTGGGTCCCTGGAGAGGACCAGGAGGGGCCGTGGCCCTTGTCCAGGTGGGAAGATAGAGAGCCGGGCTGGGGGCCGAGGGGAGCGCACGGACTGCCGCGTTTCATTGCTGTTTGCTTTTCCAGGCTGTTCCTCCAGGAGTGGAAACCCCCAGAGCCTTGTTTCAGACGTTTTCCAGGTGAGAACCGTGGGTCACTCTGGACGAAGTTGTGGGGAGGCAATTTTCACAACTCTTGCTCCAAAAGGGAGACTGGGCCCTCCAACTACCCTGTCTGAGCCTTCTGACTGTCTTTGCAAGCTGCTTACCCGACTGTTTCCCTGGTGTGAGAGAGGAACCCCTCCGATGTCACTGGTCGGTGTGGGGTCCTCGCCTGCAGGGTCTTGCCTCAGAAGGAGGCCGCAGTGGTGTGTCCTGCTGAGGGCCCGCGGAGCAGCCCTGCCGACTGTGAAGAGAGGGTTGCAGAGCCCTGCACGGAGCCTGGCCGGCTGCCCTCCCTTCCTGATGATGAAGTGTTCCTCGATGAAGCCCCTCTGGGCCGGCTGAGCTTGCCTCCCGAAGCCTGCACGCCCCAGGCAGCCCAGGCCAGGTGAATCCCTTCTCTCCCACACACCTGCACATCTGGAAGGGGCTGGCCTGGCAGAGAACCTCTCCTAGAAGGAGCCTGAAGCCCGTGTGGCAGCATGGGGTGCAGCAGGCTGCTCGGGAGGGCTCACGGTCTGTGGCCAGAGCGTTTCCTGATTCACTGCCTCTTCTGCTTCCAGGGTCCGTGCCTCTGACCCAAACTCTGGAACTGGCTTGGACCGGGCTACAGCCCCCCCACGGTGTCCCCTCCACGAATGTCCAGGGACTGCAGGGGCAGAGGATTGTTGGCAAGGGGTGAATGGGTCTACGGGTGTCGCCAGGCCCACAAGCTGTAGCCTCCCCAGGACTGCAAATGGGGACATCCCAGCCACTGACTCCACTGTGCTGCTGACCCCCGCCACCCCTTCAGCGGCAGAAAGTGACCCTCTCAAGCCTCCCCCAAGCAATGCCCTGGGTCCTTCAGGCAGTGCTGCTGCAGATCCCCCGCACCACCCTTCCCTGGCCTGGGGCACCGGCCAGTTGGGCTCCAGACCAATATGGCCCAGCCAGCGTCTGGAAGAGCTGGTTCAGGAGCTGGCCAAACTGGACCCCTCCCTGAGTGACACTCTTGCCTCAGACCCCAGCCCAGAGCCACCCCTGGGCCTGCTAGATGGGCTGATTCCTCTAACAGAGGCCCACGCCGCAGTGAGGCCAGGAGAGGAGGCTGCAGGTACTTCTGAGCCAAGGTGAGTGAAGGTACCAGGGACTCAGGATTTGGCTCTGCTACAGCCTGGGGCAGCGGGACCTAGGGAGCTCTGGCTTTGTCCTCAGGTCCTATCCGTTCAGCTTCACCCAGCTACTACCAGCTTCTCAGGAGAAGACAAGGCCAGAAAATGCTACCCTCCAACCTGTGCCCAGCCAGCCATGTGTCCAGGAGCTCCCAGCACCAAATGTCAGCATCCAGGCCAAGAAAGTGAGCTCGGAGGGTTGGTGAAGGCTGGGCGGGGCAAGCCCCTGGCGGCTGGGTAGAGAAAGACCCAGGCTCCCCTGAATACCCAGCCCACACCCCCTACAGGTGGAGCTAGCAGGCCTCCTCCAAAACATGCTACAGAACCTTCACTCCAAGCAGGAGCAGCTGCAGGGTGGGGCTGAGGCGTGGTCCAGGCGCAGGGCAGCTCTGGAGGCTGCAGTGCGTCAGTCCTGTGCACCCCGGGAGCTGGAGCGGTTCAGCCGGTTCATGGCGGACCTCGAACGCGTGCTCGGCCTCCTGCTGCTGCTAGGCAGTCGGCTGGCCCGCGTTCACCGCGCCTTGGCTCGGTTGGGCCCCGACGGCGACCCTGAGGAGCGGGTAAAACGGGTTCCAGCCGAGGGTGGTGGAGAGCTGCCATTTCCGTCCAGCACCATTCCTGGAGCCGCTCTCACAGCGCCCCCTCTCTGCGACTCCAGGCCTCTCTGCTGCAGCGACTCGGCCTTCTGCAGCGACAGCAAGAGGACGCCCAGGAGCTGAAGGAGCACGTGTCGCGGCGTGAGCGGGCCCTGCGCGAGGTGCTGGCGCAGGCTCTGCCGGAGGAGGAGGTGCGCGCCTACTGCACGCTGCTGGCTGACAAAGCCGCCGTCCTGGCCCAGCAGCGCAACCTGGACGAACAGGTCCGGTTCCTGCAGGACCAGCTGGACACCATCAGGAGCGACCTGAGCCATCGGCCCCTTTCTCCCAGGCCATCCTGGCTCCCAAAGACCTGTCTGGATAAACAGCCATTCCCTTCTCCCCCTATTTAGTTTCAGGAGTCGGGGGGGCACACTCCCCGCCCCCCATCTGGGACGATGCTGGTTTATCCGAGCAGGGAGGACCCAGGCCCAGCTGCCCTCTCAGGAGGGCACTGTTCCAAATGGCCTTTCCCATCTTGTGGGTACCTGGGAACTACCTAGGGTCCTACAACTGGCAGTTTCCCCCTTTCTGTGATGAGAGAGGACTTCTGTGAGGGTTGATTGAAGGGGAGAGAGACCAGTCAGAGGAGCACTTCAACCTAAAGTGCAAAACGGCCTTTTTCAATAAAAATTCCTAAAGAGGTGTGTGTGTGTACGTGTGTGTGTAGGAGACGGACCTCTTTACAAATTACACATCAGTCCAGAGCAGGAGAGGGACCTGGCAGATCATCAGATCTGGTCTGGCAATACAGAGAAGACCGGAGAACTAGGCTGGAAAAAAGCAGGGACAAGGTAGAAACTGGGCCAACTATATGGCCACCAGCAGTCACTAACTGTCCTGGTCATTGTGTCCCTACCACAAAGCCTGGCTCAGATTGGCTGGGTCCAAGTCTCTTCAGCTTGTTTTAACCAAACCTCCAACTTCGCTGGCAGTAATACTGCCTCCTTTCAAGACTCAAGTGACAGCACCCCCCTCCCATTGAAAATGGATGCAGATGCTTTGCTGCCTACATGCCTCAGCAGATGTCCAGTACACTTGGACATTTGGGGACATTCATTCCAAGACTCAGAAGTACCTTTCTTCCTTTTCAGTTATGTTATCAGTATTAGGGTACAGTCTAGTCCCAGCACATGGGAGGCTGAGATAGGATCTGTGTGAGACCGTGAGTTCAAGACCAGCCTAGGCAACATAGCAAGACTGCATAATAAGCAATGTGATGGTGCATACCTATAATCCCAGCTACTTGGAGGCTGGGGCAGAAGGATCTCAAGCTCAAGCCCTTAGAAAAATTTAAAGGGGCCTGGTACTGAGGGTGTAGCTTGGTGGTAAAGCACTTGCCTAGCAGGAACGACCCTGAGTTTGATCCCCAATACCACAAAAAAGGAAGCAAGCAAAAACAAATCAGCTCACCTAGCTCTCCACCTGCCTGATCAGGGAGGGTGAAAGCTGAAGGAGAAAGGTAGGTTCCCTGGGACCTTCCACACAGGAGCAGAGAACCCAGACAGGAATCTTCCGGTGTGCCTGAAAGGCTGGTCCTAGGATGGGTTGAGGTGGTGTGAGACAAGACAAATCCCATCTATGCATCAGCCCGGTGTGCAAGGGTCAGGTTCAAGAGAAAGCTGTGAAAATCTGCTTTGTTAATGTTGCAGCAAACACGAGGATAAGAACATCGTGCTGCTAAGGTTCAGGGTATTTTTGGAGTTGGGCAGATTAAAAGGCATGTGTCTGTGTATTTAAAGCCAAGTGACCCCCCAAGTGAGAAATTTCTGCTTCTGGCTTTGTTTTCTGATGCTTATTGTCACAAAATGCATGGGGTTGGGAATTGTAAATGGTCGTATTCATACCAACAGCATTAGTTAAAACAGTCGCGGTATTGAGCACAGAACAATGCTCACACTGTGCCTTTTTATAAAAAACATATGGGACTCCTGAGGAGGACATTGCGGGTTCTAACATTATGCTTTGCTTCTCTCCTTTGAGCACTGTGGGCGGGGCCTCCGGTCCCAGAGCCTCGGCCCAGCGAGCTAGCTCAGAGGCGCTCGGGATGGATGAAAGCTGCTAATTTCTGCCTTTTTGTTCGTCCATTATGTGCTTTTAGAAACACACTGAACGCCGTCTATTAAGCCAGCGGGAACTGTGTATTTCAAACAAGAGCACTCCCAGCCTGGGTTGGGCGGGCGGAGCCTGGGGTGGGGAGAGGGGGCGTCCGCCTTCTTCCGGTTGGACTGAACTCTGGTTTTGTACCGGGTTTTTCCTCGCGGGAGTAATTACGAGGGTTCCGTGCTCCACCCCGCCAGCCCCCAAAGTAGGACCACCCTTCCCGCGCCGGCCCTTCCGTCTGGCCCGCTCCCGCCGCCCGGGTTCTCTCCCTTCGGAGGGCAGGAGCGAGTGCGCCACAGAGCTTTATCGGCCGGGGGCTGAAGCCCGGGAGCGGGCCCCGCGGAGTGGCCAGCAGGGGGCACTGCTCTCCCGCGGCGATC